ACTCACGTTTATACATGTGCAAGCACCAATTTCACAGTAAGAGCTGTAATGCACATAAAAAAAAAAAAACAATGCACAGTGTCTGAAAACATGTACTCACTCTTTGGCTTGGAGAAATAAAGACTCTGGGTGAAAGTAAAATTATGTACTGTTTGTATCTGCTGGTATGTCAGTCAACACTTAAATCAAAATGAAACATGAATAACGGCCTGTCAAAGAGTGAGTGCCTTTTTTTTTTTTTTTTTTTTTAAGGACACGCTGTACTTCATGTGTTATTAGAATATAAGAAAGATAAAATACAAGCGCTCACCCTTTAAAGTGTGACAGAGCGGTAACAATAAAAGAAGTTGTGAGAAACTTGTGTGTAATATTACAAGTGTAGAAAATGATTTTTTTTTTGTTCCTATACCTGCCTGGCAGGTGAACCCAAACTACAAATAACTGAATTCGAGGGGGTTTATTGTGTTGTTCTGTTGTTGAAATGTGCCGACAAAACACTTCTGTTTTTCCTTTCCTACATTGTAATAAGTTCCATTTGCAGTTCCGCAGTTATCGTCAAAATATTCCTCCCTGCCATCACTTCAACACTTCGGTGGCGTCACAAAACAGTCCCAGTAAAAGCAAATCCAACTGGGTTGTGCTCTGGATGCTCACTGAGCTGAAGGCACACATGATGGCCGGGTTTTGGGTAACTTAGGAGGTTTGCGTTTCAGAGAATTTTGGCTCATTTGCCAATTGCGTACAGTTGTAAGCGATCACTGTATTTTCCGCGTTCTTTATTTTCTCCCGTAGACTTTGAATACATTCAGCCGACACCTAGAGAAGAGCGTATTTATTAGTACTTGTGACAACCTGTCTTGCCACACTGTGATTTAGTTGTCATGGTCTAGTGCATACACGGCCATCTCGGGACAAGGTTTTTTTTTTTGGGCAAATGTTCTGTCAGTTTGACTTTGCGAATTGATTAATTACAGAGGCTGCAAATAGCAAATGTGTTGGCTTCCACTCACCATGCAGGGAGTCATTACAGCCGCACGACGTCTGATTACCTGACTGAGCGCAGCAGCGCCGCACAGGTTTGACGGACAGGTGCCACCCGGTGTCTTTCACAAAATATGGCAGCAGATTTTTTTTTTTTGGGGGGGCCAAGGGGGGTGGGGTTTGAATACCATTGGTTGATTCTTTTCAAGCCTGCAATTAAATACACATATAGAATGAGGGATGAGTTTCACATTATTGGTGGGCGTTCAGGAAGTATTCTGTCAATTGTGTGCGATGGACTCGAGTTTTATTGTCTCTTGAAGCAACTGAGGGCAAAATGTAGTACGCGAACTGCCAAGCAACAGAACCACCAGACTCAATCTAAATTTCATGTCAGATGAATAACTCCTCCGGGCAGCTTTATACTGCTCATCATGACACCGGGCGTGGAGTTCAGAACCTCCAGAGCGTTCGAGATTAAAAATATGAAAACAACATTTCATCAATGAATTGATTTTCCTTATAAATGATGAAGAAAACGTAGTCAAATAATAACGGTAATGGTACAAACGCTGAGAACCAAACAACGCCTCAACAAATCCACTTTTATGCCCTTTCCTAACTCCTGTAATTTCTGTATTTCTGCACTCCAACATAATGAGGACCTCTTGGGCAATACGATAAACAAAGCAACGTGCCTTATTAGTGGAACGATAATAGACAGGATCAACAGCTGACAACTGACCTATTAAGAACCTGCCTCAGCACTGCTGAATGTTTCTAAATTATCGGGGACGTGCTGTGATAAAAAAAAAGTGAAAATGCCAAATGCTGTCTGCTCTTTCTAATCTCCTGCGGGATATTTCCACTTTCATTGAAAGTTTTTTTTTCCTCTTCTCATTAAGGCTCGGTCGGAGACGGAACATTATTCAAAGTGCTTTGTTGTACGAGCCCTGAAATCATTTGTTAGTACATATAGATTATGTGGCGTGTTGCCAGTAAACTGAGATGACACCCGAGCCGCCTTCACCTGCAACTGACTGCCCGCTTAATGTAAATGGGCCCCCCTTAATAGATCTGCCTGTCAGCTTGTGTTATCCACAATGCCTTTCACCGCCCCCCGTAGTGTAAAACGCAGCCCACCACCTCAAATCTCGAGGGACATCGTAGAGACCGATTACGAGCGCCTACGTGCATTTGAAATTGTGGGGCGCATTCCGTCTTAATGCCTCTTAATCGCTTTCAAGTTGTGGAAACGGGAGGACGTGCAGCCGTCACCGAGGGCTCAGATGTCGAAAGGCACGGACGCAAACAGTGCTTGATCTCCTTCACGGACCGTTTTGCACCGCGATCACGAATCGGTGTGCACTGGAGAAAGGCTGGGCTCACCGCTTGATGATGCCCGCCGCATATGGCCACGAGTTGTACGGTATACACGCGAGGGTGCAGCTGCCGCTCACTTTTGAATGCTGCTGCATATGTGGCTCTAATTGCTGCCTTAATGCTGTCAGTGTTCATCCAGCAAGAGCCCCCTCGCCGCAGGGTTGGATGTCTGGCGAGTGAAATGATCCACTTGTGACACCCGCCATTTAACAGGTATTAAATTAGGGAGCCCTTTATGACAGTGGTGATGTGGTCTGGTACTGATTAGTCCAAATGGGCCAACAGCACCTCCTCTGTCAGCCTCCATCGCACCTGTAGCTCTTTTTTGGAGATTCATTTTTAATGTGAGGGACACTAAAAGGCGGAGGAGTACTGGCTCGTCTCTATCAGCAGCATAGTGCATTAACCTATTGTGCGTGTGTGTGTGTGTGTGTGTGTGTGTGTGTGTGTGTGTGTGTGTGTGTGTGTGTGTGGGTGTGTGGGTGTGTGTGTGTGTGTGTTTGTAGTTTTGCACTATTCTTAATGGCCAGCTTTGTATTTGTGCTGGCACAGCGCCACCTCAAATAAAAAGTAAAATGGCGCGTTATCAGGCGAGGGCATGCAAGGCGTTGCATCTTCCTGTCCATCAGCGTGTTGTGCAAGCACATTTGAATTGTTACTATGGCAACAGAGCACGACTGTTACGCGCACGAATTCAAATGGGCCGACTGTTGCTTTGTGGTTTTGTCACACTTCTAGCCTTGACTTTTCATCTGAACAATTTGTCTCATTTGACCTGGCTTTGTGGATTCACTTGCCCGTTTGCATATTTCACATCCTTTTTTCCCCCTCCCACATGCTGCTCGCATCTACTTTTTTGTTTAAGTAATCCGAGCCGCCTCCTTTAACCTCAAGCTCTTCTTCGTCGTCAACATGCTATTCATGTCCTCTTTTCGACAAATCTTTCGTGTGCTTTGTGTCGCCTCTCAGCTGCTCCTTCCTAATACATCTTCTGGGTTCCTTCTTGCCATTTCTTCCTCCACCTCCGTCTCTTTTGTGGATGTCTCTATTTATTCTCTCCTCTGCTCTCTGCTGCCTTCCTCCCACTCGCTTCCTCCTCCTCCTCCTCCTCTTCGTTCCCTCGCTTGGCTTCTGTCCTCGTGGAGAATTCGGCTAGTTTTCAATTAGAATTTGCACCTGCCATTAAGGCTGACTAACCTCCAGTTATCAGATCTTCTAAATCGTCTTCTTTCTATGAAGGCCTCTTTTGCCTCATCCTACTTAGCACATTGCACATTTCCCACAACCCACCCCTCCCGTCTCTCCTCACAACTTTGTTTCCGTTCTGTAAACTTGTGCACTGCATAATGAATAAAATATTAACAAAGGTGTTGTGTGAGCTAGTCTTACACTTATGCCTCGTCCAAAAGGCTCCTCCTTGCCCAATTTGGAGTGCAACAAGAAACTAGAATTGCACCCTGTTGAGTGTGGGCCTTAAAAAAAAAAGACCACACAATCTTGGCACCAAATTGCACACCTTACAGGCTTTGCTGTATTCATGTACGATGCAATGAGAAATGAAGAATAATGCTAAATGTGTGTTTGCAGGGAGTAACAGGTTCTCCACGAGTCACTGCTTCAAAAGATGTACAAAGTAAATGCAAATAAGTTTTTTTTGTTTATTTTTTTACGTGTACCATAATCCTTCTAAATGCACGTTTTTTTTTTTTTTCTGGTCCTCCAGCTTTCTCCCACATTCTAGAAAACAGAAACTTTGCTGCTTTCCACCCAAAGTCGGCTGGGATAGGCTCCTACTCTCCCAAAAGGTTACAGAAAATGGATGGGTAGTTTACTTCATAGCTGCTCAAGAAAATCTAGTCGAATACCCATCCATAGTGAGGTCATATTTATGCGTGCAAACACACGTGTAGCTGTAAAAAAAAAAAAAAAAACAGCATTATGTTCCCAACAAGCTATGACTGACTAATAGTGTTTCTCCCTGCCTGTCACCTCCCTCTCCACTTAAGTTTAGTCTCGCATTCCCCCGAACCCCTCCCACTTGTCTCCTTTTATGCTCCACTGTGCTGCTTTTCTGTGTGGCGGCTAATAAAGGTGCTGTAAATAATAGTAATAATACAAAATAATAGGTCCGCACTCCACTTCAGACAGGCTTGGAGGAGGAAACAACTGAGAGGAGGTAACATGTTTGGAGGCTTGTGGAGGAGGATAATCTAAACATTAAATGGCCACCCACTTGCTTTTGAGCCTGTCAGATCGCTGTCTTTTTTTAAAGGGGGGCAGGGGGGTTGGGGGGTGGGG